GCAGCTCCTCTGACAGAGGGAAGGACATAAAAAAATTGTCACAGGTGACGCTGTGTCCCTGGAGCCCCTCTGTCAGCTCCAGAACCACTCGCATCCTCTGGTTGATCTCAGCGCACCCACCGGCTGCTTTTCCCGTGTAGAGCTGTAGTTTCCAGGCATAAGACGTCTCTACATCGCAGACCGCCCATACCTTCAGACCATACTTTGCTGGCTTTTTGGGCATATACTGCCTGAAGGCGCACCTCCCTTTGAAAGGGACAAGTTGTTCATCCACACAAATTTCCTTGTTTGGCCAGAACATCATCTGGAGGCGATGGGTCCAAATATCCCAGATTTTGCGAAATGGACCCAGTTTGTCATCACGGTGTCTTGGTCTCGCAAGTCTGTCGTCGAATCGCAGAGCCCTGGTAATGTAGCGAAACCTTTTCTCGGACATGGTAGCCCGAAAAACCACCCGGCCGGATTTCTCACTCCAGAGACTGAGTGTTGATTCGTTTCGGGAACGGTAAACACCAGCCAGAATTAGTAGCCCCACATACGCACGCAGTTCATCGCTGTCCACATCTTTCCAGTCAGCGATAGTACGTCTCCCCTGGATATTGGTCATTGAGACGATATGCAGGATAATTTCATCGGTGACGAAAAGAGAAAAACTGGATTGTAGGTCACTGATCCGGGCGATGGCATAAAAAGTAGGTCCGGTGTGTCCCGTGGCCGCTGGAACGTAGCGGAGCGTCTCAGCGTTTGTCGGAGACCACTTTGTTCCATTTTTGGAAACCCACCCTGCCGCTTCTTCCTCCATCTCTCCGCTCTCATTTTCAGACTCTGATCCATATGAGTCGGAACCGGACTCCTGCTCCTCCATTTCCTCCTCCGAAGAAATCTCCGCGTCATCCCCGGGGGATGACGAGGCGCTATCCCCCGTATCACTGCGGTCAAGTGAGCCCTCACTTACGAAGTCACAGTCAAGCTAGCCGCACCGCCAGCCGCACCGAAAATGTTGTTGCACTACTCTTACGCATATTACGGTATCGGTGCCGACTGGCTTAGAAACGCAGTGTTTTCTGTCCTGACACTACATTACTTCACAATCCACTCCCAGTTTTGGTTTATCTCCACTTTTCCCCCTGTGATCCACAGCCAAAATTACTGTACGGTTTTTGAGAAAATTGATAGTAAACTTTGCACAATTTACTCCACTGTACTTTTAATTTCCTCATCTGTGACCTCAGATTACAGGAAAACTATAAGAGGTGACGCAGATATTTCACTGGATTATGACTCTGGGTGACCCCCACTCTGCACCCTGTGATCCACAGCCAATATTACTGTACGGTTTTTGAGAAAATTGATAGTAAACTTTGCACAATTTACTCTACTGTACTCTATATATTCTCATCTTTGAGCTCAGATTACAGGAAAACTGTAAGAGGTGACACAGATATTTCACTGGATTATGACTCTAGGTTGTCGCCACTCTTCACCCTGTCATCCACAGCAAAAATTACTGTACGGTTTTTGAGAAAATTGATAGTAAAATCTTCCCATTTTGCTTTACTGTACTCTACATATTCTCATCTTTAACCTCAGATTACAGGAAAACTGTAAGAGGTGACGCAGATATTTCACTGGATTATGACTCTAGGTTGTCGCCACTCTTCACCCTGTCATCCACAGCAAAAATTACTGTACGGTTTTTGAGAAAATTGATAGTAAAATCTTCCCATATGCAGTAATTGTATTTGAATTAGTTAAATATGAGTGGGCAACTCTGACCATGACAAGACTGCATTTACTTTAAGAAATTAATAAAAAAATGTAGACATATTGTTGTCATTATTTCTACTCTTCAATTTGATGTGTTTTTTCTTTAAGATAGTATCAGAAGTTGCTCCTCCACCATGAAAAAAAAACAGCTGCATGTATTCTTTTGCTACAGCCATGATTCTCCTCTGTGGTCTTCCTCATTCATCCTGTTTGGAGCTTAATGTTCAACATCCTTTAACTATTAAAATTACAGAAGTAGAAGAAAGTAATCATCAGAGCAGGAATCATGATAAATGATAAATAGATTACCAGTACATGAAAACATAACATTTGCATAATTTCTCTGATAACCCTGCATTGGATGGGTTTATTAACGGTGGGCTGAAATTGTACTATAGTCTGCTGATGAGGAACTTTTTAGAGTGTTGAATTAAATGTCCTCCACAATCTGTATATGAATTGTCATTAAAACCATAGAGATTCTTACTTATAAAGGAAAGAAAAGTGTGACAATGCCCATCAACATATAGTGTATATTTTTTGAAACATTACAAAGATACATGTAATTCTGGGTTCACCTGAATTACGGATTAGACTGGTGGACAAACAGATGTTGTGTACAACTGGTGACAGCATCAGTGACAGGGATGCCAAAAGGAAGAACAAATTAATCAGCAAGGCTGGAAGCAGAATTAGGAGGCGTCATAGTCAGTGAGGGTCAGAGATCAATGAACAAATTTCCCACCATCATGGATAATGCATCACTCTCAAAAGGATTCAAAATTTGGGCCATGAAGAACAGTTCAGGAAACCGATTTTATTGTTTCGTCTGTGAAACTGTATAAATGAAATGTAAATTATGTTAAAGGCAAACACATTTGTAAGCAATAAGAAACAAACATGCTTTGCATTATGCCTTTAAACATCTGTACAGACTTGATACAATATTTATTAACTGAATTTAAAAACATGTTTTACATAGTGGGAGTATTTCTTTTACTGATGATATTTCAATGATATGTATTTTCTATGACTGAAAAATGCTCTAACACATGGCAATAACAGCAGATGTGGCAATTTTGTAATTTGTTGTATAAATTTGATATTATTTTAGGCAGTATATTTTCTTAGCCTTTATCATACTCTGTCAACACAGCAATCTCAGAAACCGTACAGTATATTTGGCTGTGGATGACAGGGTGCAGAGTGGGGGTCACCCAGAGTCATAATCCAGTGAAATATCTGCGTCACCTCTTATAGTTTTTCTGTAATCTGAGCTCAAAGATGAGAATATATAGAGTACAGTAGAGTAAATTGTGCAAAGTTTACTATCAATTTTCTCAAAAACCGTACAGTAATTCTTGCTGTGGATCACAGGGTGAAGAGTGGCGACAACTTAGAGTCATAATCCAGTGAAATATCTGCGTCACCTCTTACAGTTTTCCTGTAATCTGAGGTCAAAGATGAGGCTATATAGAGTACAGTAAAGCAAAATGGGAAGACTTTACTATCAATTTTCTCAAAAACCGTACAGTAATTTTTGCTGTGGATGACAGGGTGAAGAGTGGGGGTCACCCAGAGTCATAATCCAGTGAAATATCTGCGTCACCTCTTATAGTTTTTCTGTAATCTGAGGTTAAAGATGAGGAGATTAAAAGTACAGTAGAGTAAATTGGGTAAATTTTATTGTTAATTTTCTCTGAATCATACAGTAATTTGGGCTGTGGATCACAGGGGAAAAGTGGAGATACACTAAAACTGGGAGTGGATTGTGAAGTAAAATAGTGTCAGGACACAATAGACTGCGTTTCTAAGCCGGGCTTCACCCATACCGTAATATACGTAAGAGTAGTGCAACCACATTTTCGGTGCAGCTGGCGGTGCGGCTAGCTTGACTGTGACTTCGTAAGTGAGGGCTCACTTGACCGCAGTGCACAACGAGACGCGATTAACACCTCACGACCAGCTCCCGATCATCAATCGCTTGGTCGGGAGGATTTCAAACCTGTTTGAAATATATATGATTAGTGTATTACAGTAAGCAAACTAATCCAACTCCTAAGTAACTTTTTAAAGGAAGAGAACAGGATTAGTAGCTAAACTCTGGGTACTGCTATGTTAGAAAATGATGACTCTGTGTTGAGGTGCATTCCGCATGGCTTCCAACACTCAGCTGTTCATTCTGTAATTTCACTACAGATCCCAGACCTGCACAGGAAGCAAATATCATCACATTTCAGTGGTGATGAGCGTTTTAGTCTCCAGCTAAGACTTGGTCATTTTCACTAGTTTTAAGTTAAAGAAGTCCAGTTTGACACCAGGACCGTCTTTTTTGGGTTCTGTGAATTTTCCTCCTGTCTCGAGGTATTTGAGAGTAAGAACATGCAGATCTGAACCACCTATCTAGGTTCCTAAAGTCATTCACGTCTCATCTGAAAGGCGTCTTCAGTCCTACCAACTGATGGGACGTCCCTGGCCTCAAGTGGCTCCCATCAGTTTGTCATGTGTTCGTCACCAACATCCCAGTTGGGATTTTACTGTGTCAGTTAAAGCTGACATCAGCGTGGAAATAAAACGTGTCTGGGAACAACTGCAGAGTAGGCGGAGTTTTTTTTCACAAAGGACACAGCATCTCCTCATCAACAGCCAATCACAAGTACTTCCTGTTTCCATGTGTCTAATATATGCTTTGAATTATGAGTTGTACTTCACTGCTCTGTGTTCAGCGAGATTTAAGTCCACAGATATGTGACTTGAATCTTTAAGCGCCTGATAATAAAATAATGCTAGGTTGTCTCGTGTGCGTCTCTCAGTAGAGCACAGTTGTCACTTTGAAGGTAGATGTGAGATATATGTGGTCAGGGAGCCCCGTCAGCTGTTAGAAACATGCGTTTCAGATGAGAGCTCTTCAACAACTAACAAACAAGTCCCATCTCCTCAAGCCCTTAGACTACCACGGCCTAGATGGGAATGTAGACAATCTGAATGATATTGTGTGCCAGTGTGGTGCTGCTTATTGTGGTTGCACCAGCACAACCTTTGCTCAGTGCTTCTACCCGCTGTAGGTTTGGCCCCTTGGCTCGGGGACAACATGTAGGAAAACACTGTCCCGTTTTGGTACATGCTCAGTACCATTGGCCTGGATTTACAAAGACACACATGTACACACTGAAGCTCTGACATTTGAAAAGGACTTTTTAGCCCTCCTACCTGACGTTTTCCCTTCTTTCTAGCTCTGTCAGATGAAGCGGGATATTTCTTCTTCAATGGGAACACTGTGTTTGACAATCCTCAGAATTTCCACGTGGCAGGAACAGTGTTCAAGTACCGACGTCCAAGCGTCGTGTTGTCTGATGGGTTGGAATACATCATTGCCCAGGGACCCACTCTGCAGGGTCTTAATGTTATGGTAGTACAGGAACACACACACACACACACACACACACACACACACACACACACACACACACACACACACACACGTGTTTGTTAGTTTGACTGTAACAAGGCTGCGTGTCATTTCAGTACTACAACTTGAATGGGAAACTCCCCCACATCACCTACGAGTATACCATCCCACTCAAGTCTCAAGCAGCTGCCGCGGCCTCACGCCACTCCAATCTTAACCTCACCTATAATGACGTAAACGTGGATGTCAGAGGGGATCAGAGTATCTCGATGAACCACAGCAGAGGGTCAGCATCTGTCCATCACGACCTGCACGACCACCCAGATGTCCAGCTGCAGGAAGAAGAGGAGGAGGAAGTGGTGTGGGAGATCCAGACCGCCAGACCAGCACCAGTGGACATTATGGTCTACAGACCAGCTGACGTCATCACTCGTGTGTTTAGTCACAATGATGTGGAGGAACAGGGACCTCCAGCACCATCTGGCTACAGTAAGTTTCATCTTACTTGTATTATTAAAGATGTTCTGAGTCGTGCCAGAGGTTCAATCAGGAGACAACAACAGCTTTAGTGATCCTTTAATCTTCCGTGATATTGGTGCTTTCTAACCACATGATTTCTGCCACTGTCTTTCTTTTCTCTGGTCATGAAGAAAGCTCTTCCAACTCTTCCAACGAGCACTCGGCTGAAGATGACAACACGCTAATGCTCACCTTCCCAGGTAGAAAAGACAAATCCAGTTGTTTCCCAAATGTTTTCACTTCAGACATCTTCCTTGTGTACAGTAAGGCGGTGGTTCCCAAACTTGCTTTGCTAGGCCCCCGTTGTCTTACAAGAACCCCGCCCACACACACACGTGCACACACGCCCATATTTTGTTTCAAACTCCACTGCAGTTTATAAATTGTAAACAATGAAAGAAATAAAAGGTTACAGGTTGCAATTAAATAAACCGCTACCTCCTTTTAAAAAAAGAAAAACAAACCATCTTTAATTATTTTACGTATAGTTGTTTGTGTTGTTTTTTAGGTTTTTACTGTGTAATAATATTCAACATTTTTCAAAAAAATGTCTGTGCAGAGTGTTTAAAACATGAACGACTGTGGGATACTGTTTGTCCGTGATTTGAACCGGGGGAACAAACTGTGTCGGTGTCACTGACCAAACGTCTTCCCCCTGCGTGGCGAGCATTCACTGGGCACGGAGCGAGGATCCAGTTATTCCGCCTCCGTTACAGATATTAGACGTGGAAGGAGCGAGTGTTGTTACATTACCATTCAGTTTGAGGGTTACACCAGAAAATTTATATTTATTGTTCTCACGTGGTAACAGACAGGATTATTTTAACAAACATTTTGCTTGGTAATTATTTTTATCCTCCTGTAACTTTACTGTATAAAGAGCTAAAACCTCCAAAGTTTCAGGAGTAGTTAGTCGTTTTAAGAAGTGTTTGTGAACTAAAAATCAAGAATGTGGGATCCTGTTTGTCCGTGATTTGGAGAGCCCAGCGCTGCTCCCGACGCAGGGAAACAGATCCTGGTGGGGAGACCTGCCTTGGAACGACAGCTGTTGTGCAGGTGAAGCCAAAAACATGATATCCTTCATCAATATGTTCTAGTCTTTGGCTTGGAAGGAAGTTGGTTTGGAAGAATATTTGGTAAATGGACTGGTTCATATATAGCGCTCTTCTACTCTATCTGTGCACTCAAAGTGCTTTATACAAGTATGGGTGGGTGAGTGAATACTTTGGACAATACAGGGTGTGAACGCGGAATAATACAGTCTGATGTTGATCAGCTATGTGTGTGACTGGGAGCAGCTTCATTTTTCAGACAATGATCCTGAACAGAGATGCTTCTACTGCCAATAAAGGAACCTGGAGAACTCCTCCTGAAGGCTGCTTAAACTTCAGAGTTCATGGTGTGAATAAGACCTGTGGTCACACCAAAGCTCACTGGACTCACGCACCAGTGTTGGGCCAATATACTACAACCACAGTTCCAGTGAAGTTGGGATGTTGTGTAACACAACACAGATGTTCACAAAGTGGTGAACCTCGCCCCAGCCTTTAAAACGACTGAGCCGTTTGGGGATGCTCATGACAAACACCTGTTTCCCACTAACCTGTTCACCAACTTTCCCAGTCTTTTGCTGTCCCTGTAGCCGTTTCCCATTTTTCTAGCAAATTGTAAGGAAGTGAGGGAAAGCGCAAGAACAGGACTGTAGAGTTTGACTTTGATTATATACAAGTTATGAAAAAGACACCTAATAATATGAAGATTAGAAAATAAAAAATGAAACCTTAACCTTGAAAGTAATTTTAAAAATCATTTGTTGTTCACAGGTGATCAGAGGGTTCATCCTGCAGCAGAAGATGCTCCCCACCTGCTGCTGGAGGAGACAAACACTCACTCAGCCACACACACACCCACTGAGCAGCAGTCAGTTGCTGCTGCAGACACAGACACAAGCTCACAAATGCACAGGGACGTTGTCACAGTCATGGACTCTGTGGCCTCAGAAACAGTCAGTGGTCCTCACACCGCCATCCTGGTAGAGCTGCAGCAGGTGTCAGAGGTCCAGGCAGCCGACACGGAGAGGTACGATGAAGCATCTCATGATCCTCAGAGCTTATTCTGCATTTGTACTGTAATCATAACAAGAACTGCTTCACATACAGTCCTTCATCTCATCACCACACTGGGTTCAGATGTGTGCAGACTGGTCTGGGCTTTAACACGTGATCCTCAGGTTCAGTGAAGTCATTGTGACATTGGTGGGTTTCATGAATCTGCCTCCTGTCTGTGTTTCTGCTTCCTTCTAGCAACAACTTTGATGTGGAGCCACATATTAGTCTGGGAGACCTGTATAGCTGGAAGGTGTCTGCTTATGCTCCATGCAGTTCCACCTGTACAACAGGTAAACACAAAGCTGTCACCTGATACTGTTAGAGCCAAACCAGATATTTGTGTGATTGGCTGCTGCTGCAAATCAGCACAGATTCAAGCACAGTGTAAAAGTGATTGTTCTACATTTAACTGAAGGTGATCATAGTGACACTGTACTCGCTATCCCTGAGGGACTGATGAACTCCTGATGCAGGTCTAGACTTGGTGATGCGATGTTACAGTACTGCTCTGACACTGGACAAACCGTATTATGTTGTAACTTTGTAACTAAAAATATGATTTTGACTAACACTCCTTGTTTAATAATCCATACTGAAGAAGTGAATTTGTCAACAACAGTTGCAGTGGAAACGTTTCATTGTGTTTGACGCTTCGTGCTCTTCCTGACTGAATCAGGCTGAAATGGTATGAACAGGCCGGGGGGCCAAAAACATGCATTTTCAGTGTTGCCACATAATCGTGTCAGTCACAGCTGCACTCAGGATGGAGAGTACAATGTGATGGTAAAAATGGCTCACAGTGATGCTCTGGCTTTGTGCTGGGAGACTGCTGCAAACTGAGACCCAGCCTAAACGTGATCGACCTGTTTAGGTGAGCTTGAAAGAAGAGCTGATGTCTGCTTTGTGTAGTGTTGCAGTCTGTGGTGAAATCATACGATGCACAGAGCAGGAGAGCAGCACAGAACTACCAGAGCAATCTAAAAATGGCTCTGAACACCATCTGTCCATGAAGCCAGATAACACACACCAATGAGTTAAACTGCAGGAATGTCTTAAAGACATAAAGACCTGGATGGCCGCTAACTTTCTGCTTCTTAATTCAGATCAAACTGAGGTTATTGTACTCGGCCCTGAAAAGCTTAGAAATATGGTATCTAACCAGATTCTTACTCTGGATGGCATTACCTTGGCCTCCAGTAACGCTGTGAGGAACCTTGGAGTCATTTTTGACCAGGACATGGAGGATGTTCATCTCTGTGAGCACTGTGTGGTGGGGTGGCTGTAGCTCAGCAGGTGGAGCAGGGTCTTGCATGAATGTGTGTGAATATTAGATAATTAGCACTTACACAGAAGAACCATAGAAAAATCATAAATGAATGGGTGCACGAGGCAAGTTGTAAAAGTGCTCAGAGGAGAGAAGTTCTGAGATGTACTGTGTTCCCAGGTATCACCAGCACATATGCCCTGTGCGTCCGGTATGATGGCACTGAAGTTGACGACCGTTATTGTGACTCTCTGACCCGACCGGAGCCCACACAAGAGTTCTGCATTGGAAAGCAATGTCCTCCACGGTACTGTTTCACCTCAGACTCACTGCAAAATCCACACCACGTTTAACACAGTTTTATGTGTGAATGGAAATGCTGGTTAACTGGAGAAACCAATCGTGTTCAGTCAGGACCTCTGAGGTGGAGCAGGGTTAGAAGCAGCTTTGATCGTAGCACACGTTTCCCAGGTGAACAGTACTGATGCTGGCTGACTCTGAGATCTGCAGGGATGGATCTCCATGTCATGGCTGAACTAACACTATGCCTGATTTCAGATGATGCTGACATACTCTGAAGTCAGATGCTACTTTTAGGACCTGGAGACTTGGAGTTCACACTGGGACGAACCAAACGTGCCATTTTTATCAAATAAATCAATAAATAAACTGTTAAAAACTGACCTTTGCATCTACAGTGGGGCAAAAAAGTATTTAGTCAGCCACCGATTGTGCAAGTTCCCCCACTTAAAATGATGACAGAGGTCAGTAATTTGCACCAGAGGTACACTTCAACTGTGAGAGACAGAATGTGAAAAAAAAAATCCATGAATCCACATGGTAGGATTTGTAAAGAATTTATTCGTAAATCAGGGTGGAAAATAAGTATTTGGTCACCTCAAACAAGGAAAATCTCTGGCTCTCACAGACCTGTAACGTCTTCTGTAAGAAGCTTTTCTGTCCCCCACTCGTTACCTGTATGAATGGCACCTGTTTGAACTCATCATCTGTATAAAAGACACCTGTCCACAGCCTCAAACAGTCAGACTCCAAACTCCGCCATGGCCAAGACCAAAGAGCTTTCGAAGGACACCAGGAAAAGTATTGTAGACCTGCACCAGACTGGGTAGAGTGAATCTACAATAGGCAAGCAGCTTGGTGTGAAAAAATCAACTGTGGGAGCAATCATCAGAAAATGATGAGACAAGATGGCGCCGAGTATGGCAGCCTCGTCGCGAGCTCCCCCAAGCAACGGCTTTTTTCTGTGTTTAATTTTACTTTTCCTTTATTTTTTCATGAGCAGCACTTGTCTCCTTGTGTACGACCGACAAACCTTACTGGACATAAAAGACGGTCTTTCTTATAACTTTCCGGAGTTCAAGTTTTGCAACACGGACGCTCCGTTTGCAGACCCCCCATTCATCTCACCTGAGACGCCTTTGTTCTCTGGCCCTGGAGGCCGCAAACGCCGACGCAGAGGGAGAAGACCTGGCGTTCTGGTTCGACTGAGACGGCGCACTAACAGACCACCGTTACCCAGTTTATTACTGGCTAATGTGCAGTCTCTGGAGAACAAGCTGTGCGAGCTTCGGGCACGGATCTCATTCCAGCGAGAGATGCGGGACTGCTGCGTGATCTGCCTCACAGAAACCTGGCTATCGGACAAAGTACCGGACTCTGCAATACAACTGCCGGGGTTCTCTGTGCACCGCGCGGACAGGTCACAGGATCTTACTGGGAAAAGCAGAGGCGGTGGTGTGTGTTTCATGATCAACAACAGCTGGTGTGATTATGCGAACGTGCACCCGGTCAAATCCTTCTGCTCACCGGACCTGGAGTACCTGATGATTAAGTGCCGGCCATTCTGGCTACCGAGGGAATTTACAGCAGTGATTATTACGGCTGTTTACATTCCCCCACAAGCCGACACTGACCGTGCACTCAGGGAACTGTACAGCGCGATCAGCAGTGAGGAAACCGCACACCCAGAGGCAGCGTTTATCACAGCCGGAGACTTTAATAAGGGAAACCTGAAGAAAGCCTCACCAAAACTCCATCAACACATCCTTTTCAACACACGTGGAAACCGGCAACTCGACCACTGTTACACCTCTTTCCGGGATGCGTACAAAACCCTCCCCCACGCCCCATTCGGCCAATCAGATCACTGCTCCATCCTGCTCCTGCCCGCCTACAGGCAGAAGCTGAAACAGGAAGCTCCAACCCGGAGGGCGGTGCACTGTTGGACAGACCAATCGGAGTCTGCGCTGCGGGACTGTTTTGATCACGCGGACTGGGAAATGTTTCACGTGGCTGCCAGAGACATTGATGAATACACAGACTCAGTCTGCGGATTTATCAGGAAATGCGTGGAAGATGTCGTCCCATCCAGAACAGTTAAATCCTTCCCAAATCAAAAACCCTGGATTAACGGAGATGTTCGCGCGGCACTGGTGGCACGGAACACCGCCTTTGCCTCCGCGAACACGCACATTACCAACTCCGGAAGACGATCAAAGCAGCCAAACGTGAGTACAGGGACAGGGTGGAGCAACAGTTTGACAACCCTCGGAGTATGTGGCAGGGACTAAACACGATCACAGACTTTAGAGGGAAAACCAGCACACCGCAGACCACGGCCTCTCTGTGTGAGGATCTAAACGTATTCTACGCTAGATTCGACGCAGCGAACACCATGAGACCGGACAGTGTGCGCACCGCGGATGACGTCAGTGCGCACACTGTGTCTGAGGAGGATGTGCGGAAGTGCTTCAGGAAGGTGAACGCACGCAAAGCTACTGGTCCGGACGGGATTCCCGGCCGCGTCCTCAAGTCATGCGCGGCTCAGCTGGCTGGAGTGTTCACACACATCTTCAACCTTTCCCTCTCTCTGTCTGTAGTCCCAGCCTGCTTCAAAATGGCCACCATCGTCCCTGTACCCAAATCCTCCACCATCTCCTCATTGAACAACTGGCGACCTGTAGCCCTGACCCCCATCGTAAGCAAATGCTTCGAGAAGCTGGTCTGGGACTTCATCTGCTCTGCACTACCCGACTCACTGGTCCCTCTACAGTTCGCATACCGCCACAACAGGTCCACTGATGATGCCATAGCCCTGACACTACACACTGCCCTGTCACACCTGGAGAAGAGAGACACGTATGTGAGAATGCTGTTTGTAGATTACAGCTCAGCATTCAATACCATCGTTCCCTCGAAGCTGGACAGGAAACTGCAGGATCTAGGACTGAGCAGCTCCCTCTGCAGCTGGATCCTTAGCTTCCTGTCTGACAGACGCCAGGTGGTCAGACTGGGCAGCATCACCTCATCCCCCATCACACTGAACACTGGTGCTCCACAGGGGTGTGTACTGAGCCCTCTCCTGTACTCACTCTACACCTACGACTGCACGGCCACTAACAACTCCAACATCATTGTGAAGTTTGCAGACGACACTACAGTGGTGGGTCTTATCACCAACGGTGATGAGACAGCTTACAGGGAGGAGGTCAGCGCCCTGACCCACTGGTGTCAAGACAACCATCTCACCCTCAACGTCGCAAAGACAAAGGAGTTGATAGTGGACTTCCGGAGGTGCAGAGAAGTACATACCCCCATCACCATCAACGGCGCTGCTGTGGAGAGAGTGAGCAGCTTCCGGTTCCTTGGAGTACATCTGGCTGAGGATCTTACGTGGTCAGTACACACAAACAAAACAGTGAAGAAGGCGCAGCAGCGCCTCTTCTTTCTCAGGAGACTGAAAAGATTCGGCATGAGCCCCCGCATCCTCAGGACCTTCTATCACTGTGCCATTGAGAGCATCCTCACTGGATGCATCACCACCTGGTATGGCAACAGCACCGCCTACAACTGCAAAGCTCTCCAGCGAGTAGTGCGGTGCTCTGAACGGATAATTGGAGGTGAGCTTCCCTCCCTCCAAGACATCTACAGGAAGCGCTGCCTGAGGAAAGCGGGGAGGATCATCAAGGACTCCAGTCACCCCAGCCATAAACTGTTCAGACTGCTTCCATCAGGAAGGAGGTTCTGCAGCATCCGGTCCCGTACCAGCAGACTGAGAGACAGCTTTTTCCATCAGGCCATCAGACTGCTGAACACGTCATAGACACCTCAGCTTCACTACTGGAACTTCAACATTATGCACTCCATACTGTACAGTAATGCCACTGTTTTGCACATGTCTCACTCTGTATATTTTATTTATTGTTTACTCTATTTAATTTGTAAAATATGTGTACACACACACACACACACACACACACACACGTAGAAAAATATTTAGTATACACATCCAGAAATGCATACACTATTATATATTGTACATATATTTATTAGTTTCAGGTTGGCCATTCTTGTATTTTGCTCGTTTGTGTTGTTGTGTTTGCACATCTCTGTTGCTTGTGGGGCTCGCACACAAGAATTTCACTCGCATGTGCTGTGCCAGTGTGCCTGCACATGTGATGTGACAATAAAAGTGATTTGATTTGATTTGATTTGAAAATGGAAGACATACAAGACCACTGATAATCTCCCTCGATCTGGGGCTCCACGCAAGATCTCATCCCGTGGGGTCAAAATGATCATGAGAACGGTGAGCAAAGATCCCAGAACCACACGGGGGGACCTGGTGAATGACCTGCAGAGAGCTGGGACCAAAGTAACAAAGGTCACCATCAGTAACACACTACAACGGCAGGGAATCAAATCCCGCAGTGCCAGACGTGTTCCGCTGCTGAAGCCAGTGCATGTCCAGGCCCGTCTGAAGTTTGCCAGAGAGCACATGGATGATACAGCAGAGGATTGGGAGAATGTCATGTGGTCAGATGAAACCAAAGTAGAACTTTTTGGTATAAACTCAACTCGTCGTGTTTGGAGGAAGAAGAATACTGAGTTGCATCCCAAGAACACCATACCTACTGTGAAGCATGGGGGTGGAAACATCATGCTATGGGGCTGTTTTTCTGCCAAGGGGACAGGACGACTGATCCGTGTTAAGGACAGAATGAATGGGGCCATGTATCGTGAGATTTTGAGCCAAAACCTCCTTCCATCAGTGAGAACTTTGAAGATGAAACAAGGCTGGGTCTTCCAACATGACAATGATCCAAAACACACCGCCCGGGCAACAAAGGAGTGGCTCCGTAAGAAGCATTTGAAAATCCTGGAGTGGCCTAGCCAGTCTCCAGACCTCAACCCCATAGAAAATCTGTGGCGGGAGTTGAAAGTCCGTGTTGCTCGGCGACAGCCCCAAAACATCACTGCTCTCGAGAAGATCTGCATGGAGGAATGGGCCAAAATACCAGCTACTGTGTGTGCAAACCTGGTAAAGACCTATAGTAAACGTTTGACCTCTGTTATTGCCAACAAAGGTTATGTTACAAAGTATTGAGTTGTATTTTTGTTATTGACCAAATACTTATTTTCCACCCTGATTTACCAATAAATTCTTTACAAATCCTACCATGTGGATTCATGGATTTTTCTTTCACATTCTGTCTCTCACAGTTGAAGTGTACCTCTGGTGCAAATTACTGACCTCTGTCATCATTTTAGGTGGGGGAACTTGCACAATCGGTGGCTGACTAAATACTTTTTTTCCCCACTGTATAACTGTATCTATAAATTTACAGCATCACCCAGATTTCCTACAAACATCTGGCCTAATTGTGTTACTGCATTAGCTGCTAAATATCTGTGGATTTCTTTTTATTCTCAATAATCTGGAGCTGATTTATCAGACCTCATGTTTTACTGCCTATTTATAATATTATTATAAATATTTTAGTTAAAAATGTTATCGTATGCATATACAGTGGAACCCCGACTTACGAAATTAATTCGTTCCCGAGGGTCTTTCGTAAGTCGAAGCAGCCATCGCGCCTTTTGAGTGAACGGTAGGCTATAGGCTAGTTGCTAACGGCAACAACAATACGTCGTTCAAGTGGAACAGCGAAGCGCAAGTACGAAAACCAAGGGGGTTGTCACATGATTCGGAAGGCATCGTGGGCATTGTAGGCATTCTGGGCTCAGCCAATCAGAGCCAGCGGATTTCGTTACACGGGCATTTTGCCTCAACACGGGCAGAAATATTGCCGTTAAGTGCCTTCGTAACTTGAATTTCTCGTTAAATGGGGTCTTCGTAAGTCGGGGTTCCACTGTAGTTGAATGTTTTTGACAAACGTTGGAAATGATTCCAGGACTGTAAGAGTGAATATTTGGGGATAGCTTTGATTTACTGCCATAGTTTGGGTTACACCTGAAGCCGTCTGCATAATGCATCACACGGGGTCACCACCGTGGATGGATGCCCCACCAGGGAATTAAACAGAAGTCCAGCACAAATCCAGGAGAGTGATTCATTACATGTGTGGAGATGTTTTACGGACCTGTGATAACTACTCCACTTTGTTCTCAGATGGGAGACGAGTGGTTGGAGCGCGTGCTCTCGGACGTGTGGCGAGGGCGTGCAGTATCGTATCGTGCGTTGCTGGAAGATGCTGTCTCCTGGGTTCGACTCCTCTGTCTACGATTCGCTCTGTCTGTCACATGATCTCCACAAACCAGCCAATAGGAAGGTGTGCCACGGCCAAAGCTGCGGACCCCAGTGGGAGGTGTCGGAGTGGTCGGAGGTTTGTGCTACAGCAGCGTCTAACTTTCATAACAACCAGTTCTCGTTTAATGTTGGTTCACTGCAAACTTCTTACATGTTCTTACGTGTTACCAAGTGTGGAGCAGGGAAATTATTTTACTGCTATTGTTAAATAATCATCATTATTACCATTGCATTAATAATATAATCTGGAGTTTATATTGCATTCAGGGGTTGAACAGTGTGTCTTTCAGAAAGGCTAAAAGTCACAGGCTGACAGGAAACAGGCTTGCAGAGAGTTTGCAGAAGCAGGAAGTTATTTTGAGCAGCAGGCTAAGACGAGGCTTTAACAATGTAACAGATAGCTTTAAGAAGGCCTTAAGATGTTTATGATGATGTTAATTTTGTATTTCAGATGCAGTTATAACTATTGTGTACACAATGCATATCTGTGCTTATTTGAGTTGATGTTCAGGTTCTTTAAAGGTCTTAAGCTTCACTGACGTGACTGTTCAGGTGATACATGCTGAGGGAAAACTAGAACATAGAAGGAATTGCAATACATGCTTACAAAACACTTATATATCAGGTCATTTCATATTAAGGTTTAAGTAGAGGTTCTTGGTTAAAACATTTATTTAGTAGAAGACATACACATAGTCTCAGTGAGCCTCTGGTCTAGTGAAAGGTCAGAAGTGCAACAGGTGAATTGAGAAAGAGCATTTGAGGACGAGACACAGACAGTTAGTAGGTGAAGAGGTGACACAAAGAGCATGTGGGGTCAACACACACACACACATGAGTTAGATTTATTTAGAGGAGAGATTAGTCATGTCTCGGCAAGAAAGAGGAACAATTCACTTTAAGACAAGAACGGAAAGTACCAGCCATGAAAATAGAAGATGATCTTCTGGGTTAAAAGTCATTGTGGTGTTGATCTGATCTATGTATAAAATGTATCTGTGACGCATGAAGGGGCGTCAGTAAACAAGCCCTGACGGTATAAAATCTGTGTATGCTTTGAGGAAGTCGGAGATCACTTGCTGTCGGCGTACAGAGTGTTCTTCCCACACGTGTGTAGTCATTAAAATCATTGTTTGACCAAGATCCTCTGGACCAAGGGTGGTTTGTACTCTCCTTCCTCAATTTTGAACCTTAACACAAGCAAGAAGAAACTTTCCATGATTCACCTTTTTGAGATTTTGTCTCCCGTCAGGAGGACACGTGAATATTGTCATGCTTCATCACACCAGCTGTCATTCATCGTTTCTCCCTCCGTGTGTCAGTGCTCAGCACGCTGTGGCTCTCGGGGCATCCGCACTCGAGAGGTTCGTTGCTCTATGGAGAGGAAACTATGTAACGAGACCTCTCGGCCAATAGAGAGCCAGGAATGTGAAGGCCCACCTTGTGACAGACGATGGAGCGTTTCTGATTGGGGACCTGTGAGTTCAGCCCTTTACTGTACCCACCACACACTGACACTGTCAATCACTGTTTCCAAGCCTGAAACTGTAAAGTTTGGTCATTTTGATGACCTGACAGTGTGTCTGTGAGAGGTATCACCAGATACGTCACCATGGTAACAAACCAGTCTCGAGTCACTCGGGTCTTTATCTTTTGATTTTCTTGTCGTTTTTAAAGTTTTCCAGGCTTTATGAGCGTCTGTGGACACTCGCTGCTTTTTCACTCGTTTACTTGAACCTGAATGTTTTTGTTGTTAAGCCACTAAACACTGCTTCATGCCCAACTCTGGGCTGTGTGTGCAGTGTGCAGACAGCTTAGCAAAGAACCACTTTGAAACTGCATATTAAGATTATTCGTTATTAGCACAAAAACACAGAGTTTGCAATGTTTTTTTTATTATTCTACGAAAAATGCCGAAGATAAAAGAGTTTAACAGGTTAAAATAGGTTTTATATAGAGCAACAAAGAACTACACAGAGCATTTGAAGCCTTTGGGCCTTCAGTCGATCCATCTCTTTGCTTCAGCCTCTCCTGAAATGGTCCCAGTGGAACGGCGGCTGTCAGTTACTGGGCTGAAAACCAGTGGATTACAGTGGGATAAACAGCAGATTAATCTGACTCGATTTTGCAGTGTTGTAGTTTTCAGAGGTGGAGGTTATGAGCAGCTTTTGTGCAGCGTGTAAATGTATTTTGCATGAAAATGTCTCTGCATTGTGTCAGTGCTCAGGTGAGTGCGGGGAGGGCAGGATGGTGCGTTCTGTGACCTGCCGTTCGTCAGGCGGACTTGTGATGTCAGACGGGCAGTGTGACCAGCCGTTACGCCCGTTGGCTATCTATCCCTGCGGTGACAGAGACTGTGCTCCACACTGGGTTGAGCAGGAGTGGCAACAGGTGACTGTGGCACAGTGAAGACATCATATTTTAACGCTATATAAGGATCGTGCACTCTTTAGTTTTGCGTCTGTGTTTCAGTGTAACGCTACCTGTGGCCGCGGCGTGCAACAGCGTCAGGTGGTGTGTGCTGGCCTGGAAGGAGGAGTGTTCAAAGAGTTTCCAGACAGCAGCTGTAACCAAACCAACAAACCGCAGATGAGCTCATCCTGCTTCCAGAGACCCTGCTCCAAGTGGTTCACCACATCCTGGTCTCAGGTAGCGACACCTGTCATCAGCCACCCAGCACACAATCACAGCCGTCTCACATTTTTCAAACTTTCCTCAACAAACTACAATTGGCAAGTTTGACCTCTTGTTCACTCAGTGCAGCAAGACCTGTGGGCGTGGCGTCCAGGTTCGAGAGGTCAAGTGTTACCAAGGGGAGGAGCTGGTAACGAGGGGTCACAGCTGCGACTCTGCCCTCAAGCCAGAAACCAAGCAGAGCTGTGAAATCCAGAGCTGTCCGACAGAAGCACCAGGTATAAAAACTCCAAGAGCAGACGATGCCGCCGTGAGACGATGACTTTCTAACAGGAGCTTTGTTATGTGTGTGTTTATCCTGCAGCATCACAAGGAGCAGACTTCTGCCAGGACAAAGCAACAGCCAACTGCGCCCTGGTTCTCAAGGTCAAGCTGTGTTCCCACTGGTACTACAGGAAAGCCTGCTGCCAGTCCTGTAAGGCACCCAGACCCTGAAGCCTTCGCTGTAACCTCTCACCTCAGCATCAGCCACTGTTACCAAAGGTCACGCTTTTATTGGTGCTACACAAAGCTCGCTGCTCGCCGCAGTACATCAACATAACCTGATTACTTTTATCCAATCATTGATGTCAAAGGTCAACTTATGGTCACTGTATGATTCTCTCCTTATCATTGTGGGAAGTATACCAGTACGAGGTCTTCTCCCAGCATCCTTTCTGAACTATATCACTGACTGTGGTACTAGTTTAGTCACAACCTCCAACTCAGACAATGTGAAGATAGACTAGCTTTAGGGGGCGGAGCTGGGTGATGAGGAGGAAACAGTTCTTTCTGTGTTCATCGCTCCAGATAACAAATGTGTCATTTCTACGGTGCTAAAGAAGCTGTATGTAAACACGTCAGAGCCTAAAGCAACGGTCGTCACTGTGGCAGCAGACTGAGACAGGCGGGGAAACTCGGCCCTGTCCTTAATGTACACAAACGGGGAGTTTGGGCAGGTTGTCCTCCTGCTGCCAGCATGGAACGCAGCTCCTCGTCCTCCCCGCACAGCACGGCTACCGTAATGTCACCTGTCGTGTCCATACCGCCGCTTACGTCTTCAAATCGAACTGCATTTGAACAATATTTTCAGCCCTTCAAATGGAAACACAGCTGATATTCAAAGTGAACCTGGACACAGCACAGAAAAAAAACAGCTCATTGTGTTTCCATTTAAATGAAAGAATCCAAAGTATTAACTGAGTTTATCTATACAGCATCAAATCATAAAGTCGCCTCACAGTGCTTCACGTTGTATATAACATTGTAACGTGCCTTTTAATGGGATTAATGTGCCTTTGGAACTATTGTCAAGCGACATCTAACTGAAAACTGTGTTTTCACTGCAGCATCTCTAAAGATCGTTTCCTAGCTGGTAGTAATGAGTTGCCGTTGCACAAAATGATTCTTTAGCTTGCAGCCGGGGTCGTCCTCTGTAAATAAGATGGCTCTGGGAAAGCTGGTACAAGTTTACTGGTAAGGAGTCAAGAAACAATTGTGACTTCTGTGGGCTTTTCAACCTGCAGCAGCTGAAGGACAACACGCCAGCCGTGCAAACAGAGCAGCAGGAACACGCTGCTGCCAGTGAAAACTGCCCGGGCCAAACTCTCGTCTGCGTAGTACACTGTTTGTTTACCTGATGTTACACTGCCTCAGAGCTGCTGCTGCTCTGACTGTTTGTACTGTATCCCACTGAAAGAATTAAAGGTGAGTGTTTGTGTGTTGACCCACTGCTTCTTTGTAGTCGGACTGACCCTTGCATTTAGCGATGCTGTTGGATACCAAGGTGTAGTTGTGAAATAGAAGGAACGAGCTTAAACTTTAGTGGTGTGCAGCTTAAAGGTGGTAATTCAAGCTAGGTTGTATGTGTGTGTGAATAAAAGAAACAGACGTGAAGACGTGATCTGACCCTCTGTGTGGATGTGTGTCACAGTTAATCGTTAGATCAGTTTCACCCTTCATGACCTTCACAATTAACATCAACGTTCTATAGGTGAAATCTCAGGGCCCAGCCTCCTCTGCTCCACTGCTGCAGCCGAGCCCCCCACAGAGCCCTTTTTGTGCATTAACATTATCCATGATTGTGGTTGGAAAGGTAGATAGTTAACAGATATCCTCACAAAATAAAAGACAAACAGTCATAACATTGGATTTTCATAGATGAGACATCAGATACAAATATTCAATTAAGTTTTATTTATACAGTGCAAAACCACAACAGTCGCCCCAAGGCGGTTTATGTAAGTTAAAGACCCTAATAGCGAGGAAAACCCAACAATCATATGACCCCCTGTGAGCAGCACTTTCATGACAGTGGGAAGGAAAAACTCCCTTTTAACAGGAAGAAACCTTCAGCAGAACCAGGCTCAGGGTTCTCTTTACTAATCTACAAACATGACACATTATGTGAAATCCATAAGGAATCTTGTGGACTGGATTTTACTGCCATGGTTTGGGTCTAGTGATCCTTTATCCTGTAGTAAAACATTTCTACCCTGATGGCAGTGACGTCCTATAGGTCAACCTTGACTAAGGGACTTTGAGTGGTTGTAGCGCTTGTTAGATTATAATATTATTTTATGCCCTGTTATACCCCTAGTTAAAGATTGTGAATTATTATGTAGTTTTAGTTTGCATTATTCTCCTGAATTAGAAGAAGCTGATAACTATTGCATTCGTTAAACTGATTTGCATTACATTAGACTGCTGATTTATTGTGGATGAATGATATTGTTTTATGATGTTATAAGAAATACTGTTTGCAGAAAGTCATCGCCTTATTTGTCTGATTAGAAGAGAACAGAGCATGCTGGAGTTTTCTGCCCCATCTCAGCAGGAGCAGATAAACGGGGAGCCAAGGTCGTAGCTTAGGCGCCGTGTGAGAGAAAAGCATGTGAATGTTTAAACTTTTATGATAAGGTGGGAGAACCAGAGGCTATAAGAGTTTGAGTAATCCTCCACCATTTTGAGATCTGATGCTGTCTGCATTCAGTTTCCATCTCCCACGTGTGTGACCATTAAAATCACCGTTTGACTCAACCCGGCCGGACCAGTGTTATTATTGTGGTTTTTCTCTTGTCTCCATCCCCAATATTTTGAACCATAACATCTTGGGGGCTCGTCCTGTGGTATTGGGGTGGAATTTAAAGGTTTGGACGGTCCGAGGTTGTCGAACGGACAGGCACAAGCCAGTGGTCTGACGTGAGTGGGCATAAGCCGGCTTATCTAAAGGTAAGGCACTACCTGTTGAATTTTTTCAAAGTGTGCCAAATTGGATATGACTAAATTAAAGTCTACTCACTGAAATTACTGGTAGAGGGTCTGTTTTGATTTTGATGAGGATCCGCGTGTGTTATGCAGTTAAAGTCGGTTAAGAGTATTTAATGAAGTTGAAAAAGTATGAAAGAAATGCTGGGTTAGAGTCCCAAGGAATTGAGTTAAAGGCTCAAGTAGTTTGGTAGGGAATTGGTCATGTTGTTGGTTAAAGTCCAAATTGGTTATAAGTGTGGTCCTGTGTGATCATCTCTAGGCACTTGCCTTAGTCACACTCTTGTTTTAAGGTGTTGACTGTTGTTTCAAATTGTTACAAATTATTATAGGATGGCACCGGAAGTTTCTAAGAAGCGCATAGCCCGGAGGTTACGCTCCCTCCTGGCCGTGGACGCGCGGCTTTGACCTGTCGGCGAACAGGGATAGTTCAGTTTGGCTTATCTGTGGGGTACAGGGCATCCTGGAATAAGCTAGGAGTTAGAGTCTCCTCACCGTTGGAAACGGTGTGATGTGCTTTTTTGGACACAGTTAAATTGAGTTAGGGATTTTAGAAATCAGGCCATAGGCTGTTCTGGAGGAAACAGATACTGGTTAATTGATTACAAAAAAGTTATCTTTCTTCGGTGAGACCCGTTATGGTAAAATTTTTTGAAATTTGTTAGGTGCTGAATCTGTCAGGCCTGTCAGTGGTTGTAAATATAAGACGTCTTTGTAATATAAAATAATAGAGTCTTGCCTGAGTTTTGTCTGACCCTGTGTGTGACGACAGCGCACTGCAGCGCTGCGAGCTATTTTTAGACTGTGTGTGAACATGCAAATGAGCTGTGAGGCGCACAGAGGATTTTTGCTTCCTGTTTAGTGTGTTTTTGAGTTTTATAATTATGATTTGCAAACAATGATACATGCCTGTAATTAAAACGCTGATTTTGCTGATTATAATATTACAAATAAGGTTTTGAATGACTATGCTGAATGTTTGATGTTTGGCTGGGTTTAGATATAGAAGAGACAAATTGTGCTTGATTAAGACCGGCACTTCAGCCGGTCTTAATCTTAATCTTAACTTCTTAATCTTAATCTTAATCTTAATCTTCAACCGGTCTTAATCACAATCTTAAACTTAATCACAATCTTAATCACAATCTTACTCTGCCGGCACTTCAGCCGGCAGAGTAAGATTGTGATGAAAATGATATTAAATAAATCTCTTAGTGTGTTGATACAGGTGGCTATGGGCCTGAACCAACTGCCCCCCACGAGCACACAAAAGGTTAAATTAACCCACCTACAAACACACATACACTAGAGCTGGGCGATATAAGATTTTTTCATATCACGATATGTTTTTTTCATTTCAGGCGATAACGATATCTATCACGATATAAGCCAAATAACTATATTTGTAAGATTTAAATGTGCCGTTGCTCACAAGTAAAATGTGAAATAATCAGCAGCTTGTTTTTAAATATTTATTTCCCATAATAAGTTCAACAGGGTAGATGTACTTAAGGAACATGAGACTTTTTCAGATAAATAAAGGCAAATATTGCAAACTACACAAAAGGCAGCCGCTAAAGCGTTTAAGTTTCGAAATAGAACAAACAAAACAGACTAAATTGTCAATTCCACTTAGAAACAAAATATTAATTCTAAAAATAAATCTTAGTTTGTTTTACAGAAGAACAGACAAAACTGACTAACTTTTGTCAATATCAAATAAACTGAGAACTAAAAGGAAGTTCTCAATCTCTCCTTGTTGTATAGCTGAGCTTTTCAAACAGTTTTAACAGTTACTTTAGTCTGACAAAAGCCGAATGACGAATCAGCGCTTCCAGTCAGAGACTGAGGCTACGTCCACACGTACACGGGTATTTTTGAAAACGGAGATTTTTCCATTTTCGTTTTAAAAAATAATCCCGTCCACACATAAAGGCAGAAATGAAGGAAAACGCTGCTATGAACATGCCAAAGCAGCAGGTGGCGCTAGATTCCTAACTGTGCAGAAATGTTGGCCAATCAGAAGTCTAGAAGCCTCGGTGGGAAAAAGTAAACAAAGCTGGGGCATAGAAGCAGAACCGAGTCGTATGTGTGGAGGGACAGTAACTGTGTGTATATGTAAGCATTTAAACACTGTAGAGAGTAGAATTAACAGTATTGTAGAAATTCATTTCACCGAAACAATAACGTGGCGCACAGTGTGACGCATGCACCAGTTTATTGTATTTCCAGACTTGCTTTCGGCACAATTTACAGTGCACGCTACTCTGTTTTTTGTCAGACTTGAAATAGCCGAAATACCTTCACACTACGGAGCTTCTATGGCTCTTCCGTTCGACAATCTCTCCGGCGTTGGAACCATCATCTGTTTTCTCTTCGGTCACGCTCGGTTGATTTTTCTAGTCGGCACACTCATTTCCTCCATTACCCGCTGGCTGCTTCCCAAACAAACACACGTGCGGCTTGGCACTTGTGCTGTACGTAACAAGTCACCCGACGTGACGCTGCGGCTGTGATTGGTTCGGCTCTGCGCTACTTAATTTGGATTGGCTGACCTTTTTTTTTTTTTTTTGAGGACAAGAGCGGCAAGGTCTATCGCGATAGCTTAATTTCTCTATCGAGTAAAAGTTATATCGCGATACATATCGTTATCGTTCTATCGCCCAGCTCTAACATACACGCAATGAAGAAACAGCTTACACTCATGAACACGTGAAGATTTTCCAGCAAGTTTAAAGCAGTGAAACTTAACATACACCCGCCGTTAAACAATAAAGTTATCCACTACTAACAAATAAACTCTCTGGGTTGCAGGACAACAATTTAACTTCAAAAAAAAAAAAAAAAAAAAAGAAGACACTGGTATGACCAACCAGTGAAGGCACGACAAATTTAGTGGTTAGGAAAGTCAAATTGTGACATGTTTTCTTCTGATTGATTAATACAAGTGATTACTGAATGAAAAAAAATTCCATTTTTGAACTTTTAAACAAAATCTTAAGAATTTTAACATGTACCTGTGTTGTCCTGTCAGCTTGGTGGGTTATGAGAGGATTATATGGTGAGAAAAAACAAAAAAAGGGGGAGAGAAGGCTGACACAGGGCCTGGCCCCGGTGTTTCTCCCCTCTCTGAATGACACAGCCAACACAACATCATTATTTTCGTTCTGTTTTGTTTTGTTTTTGTTTTGTTTTTTCTCTTTATGTTTGATTACAGGCTGCTTTGTTGGCCCAGAAAGCCGAGGCTGACCCTGGACTCCTGCTCCCCCTCCCTACCATCTTTGCTCTCTCCTCCACCATCTTTGATGTGACCCTGACCAAATGCTATAGCAGCTGGACCCACAACAACAACTTGAAGATGTCAACAGCGCTGCAGGAAAACGATCTTATGCAGCGGAGACGGAGAGCGTTAAATCCAAGGCCCGTTTCACTACACGGGGGAGATTTCCAGACAGCTTCAGCTGACAGAGCTGTGAGGAGACGCCCATTAAGCCCAGAGGAAAAGTGAGGCCGAGAAAGACAATGCTGACCTTAACCACT